TTTCCTTACCTAACGTTAGGATCCTATACTTAAAGACGTCCTTACCTAACGTGAGGATGTGCTAACTGAGGATATTAGGACTCCTAACGGCAATTAAACACAACGTAAAATATTATACAGCTACGAATCGAACCTGGATCGGTCGAACAACAGCCGCAAACTCTACCACCCCACCATTTTATACATGATATAAACTAAATAAGAATCCGACAAAGATAGTGCCACAAGGCGCCATTCAGCAGATTTAACAGATAAAACCTCTTTTATTATCAACTGATACGCGTAATGAATGATCCAGTAATGGACCATTATGGATCTTAACGTCTTCTGATATGGAGGGGTCTTGCAGTAAAAAAAGGCTTGACTCTACCGAAGATTAGCATTTGTAAGGAGTTTCATACGAAGTTTATAAGCTTCAGATAAGTATCGAACTTGGTAAAGAGTTTTGTTAATAGTTGTAAGATTTTTGTGCAAGTTACAAATTAATTTAAAAATGTGCTCGCAGAGTTTCGAACCAACGACTGTTTGACGGAACGTAGCGAGTCGTCTTGTACACCTTTAACGTTAGGATGGTCGGTAAAGTACCCCCCCCGAGGTACTTTACCATTAGGATGAAAATTTCCTTAAAAATATAGCTTGTGAAAGCCGAGCGTCCTAACAGCCTGTTTTTGAGGATAAAGGCATCCTAATATCCTAAATCCTAAAGGTAAGGATCCTAATGTCCTAAAGTCCTAACCCAACCTAAGGAAAGTGCCCTTGTGAACGCCATTTATCCTTAAATTGCATCCTAATGGGTTAAAATCCTAACATTAGGATGCTTGTGAAATAGGCCCCAGGTCCCTAGATCCATGATCATTGACCCTGCACATCCCTTGCTATTTGAGGATGAGTGTTCGTGGCGCTCCATCCTCTGGGGCGTTCACGTTCGCTTCCTTTTATCCACTGTAGATCGCGCGTTAGCGGCATGGTAATAGAGTTTCATGGCAAGAAAACCGGTCCGGAACGTATGCAAAATGTGGATATCACACGAGTGACTCGTGTGACTCGTTGACTCGTGACGAGTCAAGCCACTCAGCACGACGAGCATTCTTCTACAACACCGTCTATCACGGCAACACCGAGGCTCTCTGCTACCATTCTGGGCCCAATATTCCCCTTGGCCGACTGTACCGGTGGGATCCGCCTCCATTCTCGTCCACTCCAAAACGTGCTGGACTACTAACGCACGCACGCACGCACATTCATCTCTCTCAGTATCCGAAACGAGGAATTCACTCAGTTCGGAAGCGAACAAAGCGGTACACTCACCTGTTCACTCTCATTTATGGAAAATTCAGCCTCCTTTTTGGCTTATACGTGCTCTACGTAACCTGCCAACGCTGATGCTGTGCAGCCTGTATCTCATTCTTGCTGCGGTCCTCTTCCCGACTCAGAGAGCTTTCGAGTTCTATGCCTACTACACGGATAAGAATAACTTGGCTGGGAAGGACCAAGCTTACTTCGATGCTCTATTCAATTGCGGAGTCACAGAACTGATATTTGGTGGAATGTCCGCTTCGTCAACAGGCGAATTGCATAAGACATTTCCTGATGATGCCCACTTGCGTATGGCACGCAAGGCGGCTGACAAGCACGGCGCCAGGATCTCTTTCATGCTCCAAGGTATTCCGTTTATTGATGCTGGCAAGTTGCCCTTAGACACCTTCCTGAAGTCAGCTAACGATATGTTCAAGAAACACTCTTTTGATGGCATTAACTTCGACTGGGAGTTCCCCGGGAACAACGATGAGTGGATCGCGTATCGGAATCTGATGATTGAGACAAAGTTGTCGGTGGCAAGAGAGGGCAGGAGCGCTAGTGTTACAGTGGCGTAAGTTGTTCATTTGCGCATATTGTCGAATTATGTATCATCCTTCAGCATCGGTGGGTCATTCGACCTTTACAAGAAGATCGACTTATGTAGCCGTATCGACATGTGCCTTTGGATGGGATACGACAACTATGGTGACCCCAGAGGACATTCCGACATGCTTTGGGTGGAAGCGATGGTCTTACAATGGTTATACTATGAGTCGATGAGTCCAACCAAGTTCGGTCTGGGGGTGAGTGATAGCACTAACACCCTTAATTACTGCCAGATGTCATCCTCTGAAGGTACCTCTTTACGGCGAGGACCGACATGGGAGGCAGATAAGATATTCGCAGCTCGTCGCTGAGGGGGCCGATCCTAAAGGCAATGGGACCTTCCACGGGTATTTTTTCGATTCCCAGCCCATACTGCAAGATAAGATAGTATTCGCCAACCTCAACAAGCTGGGCGGGCTAATGGCATGAGTATTGCAGTCTGACCTCCCTCAAACGACACACGTTTCCTATTGTATGGTATCAAGCAGAAGCTCAATCCATGAGAA